AAGGCCTTCCGATAGGGCAATAGTACTATCCGATAGGCCAAGCCCCATTATCCATGCAACACCGGCTTCAGAGAATTTCACCATCCTTTGACCAACTGTAAGGCGATGGGTATTCAAGTCCCACGATTTCAGTAGATCATTCAGAAGGAACATCTCCACAGGCACATGGGGCAAATCCAAGAAGTGACCAAAGGGAATCTGTTGGAGCCATCTCCCTAAAACGTTTAGTGGAGCACCTTGTCTCAATTTTGGAACCTGACACAATGTAACATTTAAATTTGACATAATCAATGACAAAACTCAACTATCACTCAACAAAATCAACAAAATCAAGAAATCAACTTCCAAAGCTAAACCATTGAATACAATGTGTTCACCAAACAAATGGTTTGTACCATGAAACTATAATGCAACAGTGTTTGAGTTTATATTGAATGTTACTGCCTATTGCTTGAATGCCTAATGCCATAGAGCTATTCAAACTCCACTTCGAGAGACAACACAAAGGGTACTAGCAAATGCAAATTAAAACTCCCACATTAACATTAAATAATTCATTCAGAGATAGATCTTACCACACTCAAAGCAATGGAATAGGGTAATAAGTGGTGGAGCAGAATCCCACTATAATCGACAAAATGTGTAGCAAACATACTTTCAGATCTTTGACGCACCACAAATGCCCGGGATTGGATGCGGAGGGTTGAATGACCAATCACCACGCTCAATGAGAACGTTGTCTATCAATGACCAGTGAACAAAGGGGACCTCTAAGTATCCTTCCGATGCTCAAAGCCAGGGGAAGAAGTAGACGGAAGATATTTCTTCCAACGGTCGCTAATCCGACCTTCGAGCTTCCTTCCAATGGTGCCTCGACGGCCAATGAACATTGAACGCAGGGAGGGGGCTCTAAGAATCCTTCCAACAGTTGAAACATGGGGATGAAGTGAGCAAAGCAATGTCACGGTAAACCGAGCTTCAAGCTTCGAAGGGTGCCTCCAATGGCCTGTGAACATTGAACTTAACGGTCAAAACTTGGGGAGAAGGGAGCGATGAAATATCTTCAGTTTCTTCTTTTTTGTTTTCAGGGATATAATGGGAAAACTCCTAAAATTTTTCGCTGATATGTGAGGCAAGTGGAGTTGCCCGTAAATACTGATTTATTAAGTGGGGGCAACAGAGCTTTTGAATGCCATAGCAGGATATTCAACATTTAGTTGTGAAGTTGCCCATAAAAACCCCTTGTTTTTTACTATTTTTATATCTAAAAACTTAGAAATATATAAAAGAGTATAATTATTATCGATATAAAACTATATTCCAGTTCAATTTTGCATGCATTTGGATGGATTATAGTTTTACGTCAATGATAGATGTAAAATCTCATCACCTTTAAAGTTTTACATCGATAAACTTAAACATCTTTTTACATTGATTTCAAAATACAACGGTCATATGTATTTACGGTTCAGTGTAAAATATCATCGGTGAAAAACATCTTTTTACACCTCTTCCAAACATAGCAAGAACATGGAGTTCAGATCTACACCCCATAAGAGGGTGCCCCACAGTATCCCACAGCACATCCCTACCGTGTATTAGGAACATCTCTCGATGATAACATTATCGAGATCGATACTATCATCGAGAGAATATACAGCGGAGATGTAATATGTGACGTTGTGGGCCGCAGATGTGAACTCCAAGACATGCATCGCAGGGGCCACCACTAGTATAATTAAATTTTGGTGATGAATTATTAGAAGAGGATAACATTAGGTGGTTGGTTGAATGCTAAATAAATCCAATCTGACTCGGATCTAAATGGACGGTGGGGCCTCATTAATTTCTTATATTTGGTGCAGTGGCAGCATAAGAATACAAAAATGTAGAGCAAATAAAATAAAGAGGGGCTTTTTGTAGTGGGTGACAGCACCCAAAATTTAATCACGAAACTCCAATTGTGTGTGTGTATAACCGGAACCCATTTGTTATGATCAATCATTGGTTCATGGTCATATGTGACTGTCGCATCATGTGATTGGGGTGAGAGTTTTGTCGCTGGGACGCTTGCACACTGCCGTGCCGTGGTTTGCTTGGGTGGTGAACTGGTGATCGATCACTTGTTTCGATCTTCTTATTTTTAACTGCCGTGCTCTCCCGGGCCGCCCTTAGCGTGGAGTGATAAATAACTTGAGTCCCATCTGCTTGTCCTTTTCACTACAGCAACTATCTAGTCCCTCCAATAGAAAAGTTTGGGGGAATGACGGTTCAGCCAAGGGCAAGAATTTTAGGCCCAAATTACAATTGGGGTAAATGCTAGTTTCCAAAACGGGCATTGATGTATAGAGTGGGGGTTTTGGACATTTTGAATGTTTATAGGTCTGTAGTAGAATTCAGAAATTTGCATTGGGTCTATCCGGATTTTCTAGAAAAGTTTCACGTTAGCCCAACTCTTTTTAATACAAAATTCGCCATATTTTAAATGTATTATTTAAAAGGAAAAATTCTTGATTAATACCCTATACTTTGGGTTTAGTGTCACTTTAGTCCCCCTGAATTTTGTAAAATGCAATAATTCAATATCTGAACTTTCAAAACATGCTAATTTAATATATATATATATATATATATATATATATGGTTAACCAGTCGTTAATCAACCATTTAAGTGACATTTAAAAAGACATAAATGTCTTTTGAGTGTCATCTAATTTTCTTTATCAGCCTTCCAAATCCTTACCTCTTTTATTGAAGAAATTAATTTATCAACCTTCCAAATCCTTGCCTCACTAAAATATTTATCAACCTTCCAAATCCTTCCAAACCCTTTCAAATTTCTTTGCCACTTCTATTATTGTTTATAGTAGTGCTTAGGAAATTGGACCAGGTTAGTTAATCTAGGTCTTGGTTAGTTTGGTTACACCCCAATATCTGTATTTGCTAAAAATTCAATGAAAATTGATTGATTGAATGGTTTAACTAGAAAATCGATGAATTAGTCCCGATTTCATGAAATCTCTCAAATCACTAAGTATGTGTTTGGTTCTATGGGTGTTTATAGATGGATGTTTCTTAGATAAACATTTTATTGAAAACATCACTTTAAACCTTTATTGTTTTTTGTTGTTTGGTTGGGCGTTTCAAGTAACACCTCATAAAACTATCTTCCACCTCAGCTTACAATGCTTTAGGTCAACATTGCATTTTAACAAACATTGGGTCATTGAAACCAAACGGTGGTTTCATGCACAATAAAGCCTAAGTGGCATTGATGTGACAACGTTTTTCAATAAATTCCCTCATAACCAAACATGCTCTAAATATTTGAAATTTTAAAACGTGTTTGAAAAGACTTTAACCTATTACCTATTATTTTCATATATTGCTTAATTACCATTACTCCACCTCTTTATTTGTGTTAATTAATGATACATACATACATACACACACACACATATATATATATATATATATATATATATATATATACATATATTATTTTATCACATGCACATTTAAAAAAATATAAATTAAGAAATTTGAATATGGCCATTTTCTTTAAAAAATAAGGAATTTATCATCCATTGTAAAATATATTATATAGTATTTATATGACCTATATATATGAATATGCCACATCATCATGATTTAACCTTTGGTTTGACTCCTAGTGAACCTTTAACCACAAACATCTCTCTTATTTGGTTTTATGTCCCATTTTTTAAACATTGATTTATAAAGTTTGTATTGTTTTATGTAAAAACCAGCCTCATTGCTTTAATAATAATTATTATATAGATATTTTAAACATTTGTATGCCTTTTGTTAAAGGATATTTAACATAAAGGATTTAGATGTAAATATCAAAAAGTTAAAGGGAGATAATTGCAATTATCAAATTTAAGAAAGACTAATAAACCATGTACGTGTGACATTATCTCCAAAACAAAATTATTTACAATTTACCCAAAAGTACAAAATTCAAAATATCCAGACTGCCGTTTAGCCTTTTCTATTGGAGGGACCAGATAATTGCTGGACCTAAGATACCACCAGATGCGGATTCAACTAACTCGACCTAAAAGTATAGGAATTGGGAAATTCCACGTGCCGTGCCTAGGATCCGTATTGGAGGCACTACTCGGACAACCGTGATGGAAACAGCAGATTTAACGTAATTCATAAATCGAAACTGCTCCAGTAATGTTTCCTTCCTTCAAGGAGGGAAAAGCTCCAGATGGTGGTTAAAAACATGTATGAGTACAGTTATTGACGAGTTGCTTTATAATTGACGAACATTTAAGCATGAGATAGGTTCGGACCGAGTTGTCATGCTCATTTTCTCGTGTACGAAATTTTGAAATCCATCAGAAAGGTGTGTTTTTCTCTGAAGTCTTAAATCAATTTGTTGCTTAGACTCCGTGTGTGTGTGTTTGCGCGTGTGAATTTCTTCTGCTTCTCGTCCTTTTTGATTGGTTAGCCAAATTTTGCAACAGTTAGGTTCTTTGATCATCCTAGATTGATGAATTTTTATAGGGATTACAGAAGTGCATATTAAGGGTTCTTAGACCAAATTTGATTGAGAGGTCTGTTGTACGAATACTCTTAGGACTAATAAGTTCTTTTGTTTACTTTCTTTGCTAAAAAAAGGCGTTTAGATTTGGTTGATTTCATAAAGTGTTGTGGTTAGAAGATCGTCTTCAAGGTGGAGTACTGGTATTTAATTGAATTCAATTTACAAATAGATTGACGCATACTATTAACTACTGAACGTATTTGTTTTCAGACAAGATTTTCTTATTGTTGCAATTTCGTGTTATTTAAATCAAAATGGACATACAAAGTAAATCCCGTTTAGTATTTTGTAACTTGTAGAAACGTTTCAAAGATTCCAGCTCTGGTTACCTTTTCTTGATATGAAAGGAAAGTGATACAATGTAACAAATATAAAAATACAAAAGAAGGCCCGGAAAAGCTCTGGGATTAACTCAATGATCTCTGTGTAGACTCCCAATCTACTTAACCAATGTTATTATTTTCCGACAGAAAGTTTTGATTACAGTACTGATTCTGTACTTCTATTTTGAATGGTAATTTCTTCAAAAGTTAATATCCGAGTTTCTTTTCTATTTTTTATATGTTTTTAATTTGGATGTTATCCCGTCCCTAGAAGTGAGGCAGGTTTAGGAACCATGCTGGGAAATGGAGTAGTTGGAATCCTGTCTGAGTCTTCGAACATGTGGGAAAGAAGAGCGCCCCTGACCCCATCACACTGTTCTCGCCTTCTGCATGGTGGCAGAGGTAAAACTGGAGTGGCCCGAATAATTGTACAGCCATCCACAAAGCGCATACATCATGATACACTGTATGAGGATGTGGGTTGTGAAATATCAGATGACCTCTCTGAATGTGGCCTCATTGTGGGGATTAAGCAACCAAAGGTGCTGAGATCCTTTGCATGATGTTTTTAATAGCTTCTAACACTGGATGTTTGAGTTTGTTATTTGGCTTTTAATGCAGTTGGAGATGATTCTTCCTAATAGGGCTTATGCTTTCTTCTCCCATACCCACAAGGTTCAGAAAGAAAACATGTCTTTGTTAGATAAGGTCTTTTTTTATTGAACTCTTTATTCTCAAGGAATTGTTTATAGCAATAACTATGCCTCTAACCGTTATCATCATCATCATCATCATAATCCAAGCCTTATCCCAACTATATGGGGTCAACTACATGCATCCTGTTTTGCCAATTCATTTTGTTTAATGCCATATCCATTGTTAAGTTATTGGTGCTTAAATACTTTTTTATTACTTCTACCTTTGTTCATCTTTACAAAATTTAGGTACTGGCTGAAAAGGTGTCTTTATATGACTATGAACTTATCATCGGAGACCATGGGAAAAGATTGCTTGCATTTGGAAAATTTGCTGGTAGAGCCGGACTGATTGACTTGTTATCTGGGTTAGGGAAAAGTATGAGCCTTCAATCCTTATAGATTTAATTGAATTTCTTTTATCAGGTCATTTGTTAAACTTCTTTACTTGTCTATTGTTATATTCTTGAAAATTTACCCTTGTTTCTATTTTATTGGAGGGCAATATGAGGTCTTAAGTGCTCTCTCTCTTTCTCTCTGTTTAAATCTTCTCTATTTTCCCACTTCTGCTGCTTTGTTTGTTATATAGCATCGCATTAATCCTTAACATTACCCCAATCTGTCTACTGTTTTACTTTTATTTTTCACTTACTACATGGGAGACTATGCTGCTCTGCTTTTATAACCTTTAGCCTTTTTCTTTTCTTCTAAATCTATGGGACCCTCAGTTCTTATAATGTTATGTAAATCTAGGAATGGAAATGGGTCCCAATTTTTTTATCCATTCTCAGCAATTTATTTTGAAGTCTGAGGGCTCCATTTATAGGTTATGCAAAGGATTTTGCCCTATGAGACTGCATGAGTACTAAAATGGTACTGTATTGATTCTTTCTTTTCTTTTACTTCAGGATATCTAAATCTTGGATATTCAACACCTTTCCTCTCATTGGGTGCATCTTACATGTATTCCTCGCTGGCTGCTGCCAAGGCAGCAGTTATTTCTGTTGGTGAAGAGATAGCCACATTGGGATTACCATCAGGAATATGTCCACTAGTCTTTGTCTTCACTGGTTCTGGAAATGGTATAAGATTATTCAAGGACTTTGAAATGTTTTATTGGTTTTGCTAGTGACCATATTTCTTTATTTATGTTACATTTATAAGTTATCCTAAGCTATTCTAAGCCACCAATAAAAATAGCTTTTTGAGTTCCTATTATTGTGCTACTAAATATTGTGTGATAGATAACATTAATTAATTAGATTATTTATCAAAAAAAATCATTAATTAATTAGATTACAAAGGAAAAATATTTACAAATAGGGGTGTCAACGGTATTCAAAAGTCTGATTTTGAATTCAAGGTTCGACATAATTGAATTGAATTCAGATAATTCGAATATCATAATTAGTTGAATTTGGATATCCTATTCATACCATTTAAGTAATTGAATCGAATTCGGATATGACCTGATTTGATTCAATAAATATTTGAATTCGACTAGTTGTTTAATTCTTATATTTAATATATAAAATACTTAAATAGTTTATGTAATTTATATATAATAATTAAATTATATAAATAATTTATATATTTATATACTTTATATAAATAAAATATTTATTTTATATATTTATTAATTACTTAAAATAATTAATCGGTCGAATTTGAACCGAATTGAATATTTGAATATTTAATCGAATTTGATTTCAAACATTGATTTTCAATATCCACCGGATATTGAATTTTCTAATCAGATATTCAGATATTGCTTGATTCAATTTGAATTCGATCCATTTACACCCCTACTTACAAAGAGGTTATGCATCACAATGGTTTGTGAAATATATTCTTCTATTTTAAATGTTTTGGAAACTTCATTAATTTATTTTGTTTTTTAGTTTCTCAGGGAGCACAGGAGATATTTAAGCTTCTTCCTCACACTTTTGTTGATGCAAGCAAACTTCCTGAATTATTTGCAATGGTAATATTCAGTTTTATTTTCTGTGTTTAAATTTCATTCTGTTCCTTTAAGAGTATTTTTTTTTTTTACATCTATATACTTCTAGGGCCCAAATATTAATGATCCATATATTAGTACTTTAATTATTTTCACAAAGTTGAGAATTTTCCCTCTTTCCTTTTCAACTGCATTTTTTGTCTTATCCTGGAAAAATATGCAGATCTCTTTTCCTTTGGAATGCTAATTTTTTTATCAATTTTCCTTTTGAATGTTATTAAAGAAGAGAATAGGGTTATATCTGTAACTGAAGGGCAAATGTGATCTTCATTGCTAAGCATGACATATCAGTTTGAGTCTCAGATCATAATGGTGTAAGAGCACATAGGGAATTATCATCTGGGACATTTTGTTGTTTCCATTCAAGAATAACTGCAAATAATTACTCTCTGGATTTTAGCATTTCTTTATTGTCTATAGAACCATAGCTTCACAGACTAAGAATCTGAACTTACCTACTGCTGGCATTATGAATTAGAAACAAAAGGACTTGTATAGTCTTATGAACCATCTACTTTAACAGTTTATATCAAACCAAAATAGTTGCAGATTAGAAATGCAATTTTGTTTAATACTTTAATTCACAAGTGGTTTAAGAATACCAAATATTTTGTGTAGTAGCTTAATCATTATCTGCACTTTTTAAAACTGGAATAACCGGTAAACAGACCAGGTAACGATACTGCAGCCTATGTGGGGCATGTGCTGGATATCTGTAGTTTCTTCTTTCTTTTGTGCGTATGTATTGGGGGGTCTGTTTATTGATGTGTTAGCTTCATTTGATGTGTAGTATTCCTCAAGAACTTATTCTACCACGTATACTAGGCTCCTAGTAATTTCATGTCAAATAGTTACATACAATGTTTATATCAATTATCAAAATGGTTTATCTTCATAGAAGTCCAGGGATCTTGCTCAACATACACCTGCACCAAAGAGAGCCTTCCAAGTATATGGCTGTCTAGTTACTTGTGAAGACATGGTAGAACCCAAGGATCCTACAAGAAGATTTGATAAGGTATGAAAAGTATTCAAGTATATGGCTGTATTGTTCATAACTAGAATCAGACATAGTTGTGAATGATTAGAGTTTCCTAGGCAATACATAAAAAAGTCTAAACAAATGCATGCTTTCATCTTTATTTTCTTGCAGACTGACTACTATGCTCATCCTGAGCACTACAACCCCATTTTCCATGAAAGAATAGCTCCATATGCATCTGTAATAGGTACGTGAGAATTGTTGTTATCATTATAACTCTATTCTAATTTCTACTGATATGCAGTTTTTATTTATCATCATGTTGTTGTAGTTAGTGAAACTTGACTTGGTTGTAGAGGTTTGGTTTTACTTAGGCTATGTTTGGTTTGATAGAAATAAGAGAGATAGAAAGTTGAGGAAAAGTTCTTAATAAATTTTATGAAATTCCTTAAGATCAACCTTCTGTTTCTCTCTTATTTTTTTTATCAAACCAAATACAGCTTTAATGATCATTTTCTGTCTTAATTCTCCTTGGTATATGTAGAGAACACTGATGTGGGCCCCACAGCAGTGGTCCCCACTGTGTTCGTAGGACAGCATGTTAATTATTTGTTTCAGTCATAGTAGTGTCAGTTGGGGTCAGTTTGTTATTTTAGTTGTTATTTATTTCAGTTTTTATTTACTTTATTTGTCATGTAAGTACTAAGGGCAGATCTGTCCTTTTCTCTATGTACTGAACGTAACCTATAAATACTAAGAGAGTGGCGGCGGCAAATGTGTTAGAATCTGTCCCTCCTTTC